CCTTTTGTTTCTGTCCATGGAGTTTTCTTGGCAAAGATACTGGAGTGGCTTGCCAGTTCCCCCTTCAGGTGGATCACTTTCCATTATGATCTGTCCGTTCTGGGTGTCCCTGCACCGCACAGCCCATAGCTTCTCTGAATTATTCAAGCCCCTTCGCCACGACAAAGCAGAAATCCGTTAAGGGGGTACAGCAATCTACATTTATTCAAATACAGTCATGTCATCTTCTTCTGGTTGCTGCACAATTGTGGAGGGTGGGGCTTCACTTAACTGGGGCTTATTTTTGGGGTAGGGCTTATATTATGAGCATCCTGAAAAATCATACTAGGGCTTATTTTCAGGTTACGTCTTACTTTTGGGGAAATGGTATATATGCCTACTCAGTGAATGTGCTGGCTATGATTCTAGGAGTCTTAATACTAAAATATAACTTTTCCAAGCACTGGAGTGTGTTATTAAATGCTCCGAGTCATAGCAGAGAGCAAGAGAGGCAGGGGAAGGGAAGAGGGCAGATTTCAAGATACAAGAATGCTTCTCTTCCCAAAGCTGGTATTTTAGCAGAGCTACATCTGCTCTGCCTTTCCCAAGTACCCCAGGCCCAACTACTGCTTTCACCCCTCTGCCTAATCTCATTTTGTACAAGCACAACAGAGGTGCCCATGGCACTGGGTGCATTAAGGAAGAACCTGGAAAAATGGCCACTTGCAATATCAACTGCTATCCATCTGAAGACAAACTAGAACTCTCATAGGCGACAAGCAGATGGTGATCCTCCCCACAACTGTCCCCATCCTTAACTCCTATTGAATCATTCTGAACACACAATCTTGTTCATTCAAAAGGGATGGCCTGTGATACTGCATTTAACTCCCATGTATCTCTTCCCCCTTCTGCCACTATGGGGCAGCATTAACTCAATATTTTCTCAGTAGACTGTACCTGTCCCAGCCATTCTAGGAAGAGTGGATTCTTAACTTGTCTAAAACCTAGTATTTTAGAACAAATAATATTTAAGGTCCTTTAGAGGGCCCATTGTGTTAATAAATAATATTTAAAGTATTTTAAATACCCATGGCTAATATTTTACCAGAGCTTGGAGAAATTTTAGACTGCTCTAGAATCCAGATGTTGGAGTTGGAGTCCAAAAAATTGGTTTTTTCCAAGCTTTGGTTGAAATTCCACTGATAACCTCAACTACAGTGGATCCACTGAATCAATTACAGAATGGTAAATCAACATTTAGATAAATCCCATTTACTCAGCTGGGACTAGCAATTTCCTTTATGTGACTATATTCAACAAACATTATACCTGTAGGCGAGACAATCTCACATTCCTCATTATCTGTCTAGCCATGCTGTAAGACAAGACCTCTTATGTTAATTAATTTTAAATATTTTAAGTACTTTACTAAGCATGTGGAGGTGTACACTATAATGCTTTAGTACTAAGTCACTGTGAATATAAATCAGTTTTATAAAGCCATGTGTGTTTTTTTTACCCTTCCTTGAATCTCCCAACATAAGGTTAACCCACTGGCAAAATATTCCATTACTAAGCTGACTTCAATAATTAGAAAAATATTCTTCACCTATAATTTAAGTCTACCATCATGAAAGTTCGGCTCAGCTCAACAGAAAACTGTTCTCTCTCTTATTGCTGGCATCTTCTTCAATGTTTGGCAGCTGTCAAAACTTCTCTTCATTTCCTTTTCCCTGAGCTGAACTCTATCCAGTTCTTTCCCTCTTGTCTCATAGGACTCTTTGGCCATCCTTGAAGCTCACTAGTAAACATTCTCTCATCTTTTCAAGCTTTCTTGAACAGCCAGAAGTAGGTCTAGAGGAGGCAAGCACTTCTGCATGCAGTTCCCAGGGGCATTTTTCTAACCCCTGAGGGACCCCAAGAGCTCCCACATATACCTATCCAAGTTTTTAAAACCCCAAACAGTAATTCTTCTGCTTTTGAGGGCATCCAGGTTCATTGTATGGTTTTGTGAGGAAACTTGTATCCTTCCACCAAATTAAAAAAGTAAATCAGTCTAGAAATGCTCAACCAGATACTTTCTATAAGTTTCCTTTTCTTTCTTTCTTTTTAATGGCCCCAAAGTGTCTTTTGCTTCCTATGGAGGAGACTAGGACCACGAATTGGGCTCCCAACCTCCTGAAGCTTTCCATCTATGAGGTAGAAAAACCCAAAGCTTTAGGATCCTTACTAAGCGGACTGCTTAGTAAAGGAGTTGGCCTGCATGAGTGGCCTTACAGGTGGTCCCCTGTAAGCCTGCAAACATAGAAGGAAACTAAACAATTTAACCACCAGCATAACAGGAATTTAACATGCAAGGAAGGGGGCTTTCTTATATAAAGCAGCCCTGGGGGCACCTCAGCATTGGAATTTGTCCATGGGATACAGAATTAAGTTTTCCTCTTCCTCTATGAGCCCAATGAAGGTCACTTTCCCATCACCCACCCAAACAGCTCTTTGCATTGAACATGATACATTGGGAATACAGGGGTTTTTCTTGTGGTGGTGGTGCCACATGGTAGTAATGCCAAACATCACTCTTTTCACTTGAGTTAGGGGTTAGGCATCCTTCAGTCTCGAAAGACTATGGTAACGTGGTCTGTATGGAGGACTTGGAACAGCTTCTAGTGTGGCTGAGAAGGCCAATTCGAGAGTGACAATCCCTTCCACACTGAAGACAAATCCAATCTGTCCCCTGTCCAGCTCCCTGGTTTTGCTGCTTTTGTGACTTCCTCTTTGCCTCAGCCTGCTGGGCAAGGGTCACTTCAAACTGGGAGAGGCCATGATGCAGTGCCTGCCTCCAGGCTGAATGCTCAGATGTCAGGGTTTCCCATCTGTTGAGGTCTATTCCTAAGGCCTTCAGATCTCACTTGCAGATGTCCTTGTATCGCAGCTGTGGTCTCCCTCTGGGGCGCTTTCCCTGCACTAATTCTCCATACGGGAGATCCTTTGGAATCTGACCATCAGCCATTCTCACAACATGCCCAAGCCAACGTAGACGTCGCTGTTTCAGCAATGTATTCATGCTGAAAATTCCAGCTCGTTCTAGGACTGCTCTGTTTGGAACTTCATCCTGCCAGGTGATACCAAAAATCTGTCGGAGGCAGCGCACTCTTTTCACTTACTGTGGTCCTAAAACTGCTCATTCAGCCAAACTACATTCACACAGTTATAGTCACAGCTAGTAGGGTGTTCGGTGGGGGTTCAGCAAAAGGTATAATTTGGGCATACAATTCTCCTGTTCCACTTCAGCCTCTTGATTGTTGGTGGGGCAACGGGTGATTTAACACAACCTTGGAAGGTAAGTCTAAACATTGGTAGATAATCAGATGGAGATGGGTTTTCCCCCCTCTTGTTAGTCATCAGAATAAGCTTTTCCACGAACAAGGCCCTCACAGAAAGAAAAACTTTACCACTCTGTATATCTACAGATGACTAGATAGTCTCAAACTTTCCCTCCAACTCTATGGCTCTGTGATGATATGCACATTGTCAAAACACTTTAGGACCTGTTGTGACCCTCTGTGGCATCCCATATATAAACTGCTTTGATTCCCTCCCCTCTCATGGCAAGAGGTGCAAAATTCTCTCCTTACCACAGTATCTCCTGCTCATCCGCTCCAGGCAGGCTAAAATAGTCCACGCTTCTCTGATAATGCGCAAGGGAAAGCCTCCTGCAAATAAAGAAGGGAGATGAGTAAAATTATTAAGGTCATACTGTAGTACACCAAAGCTTATGCCAAAAAGCTAAGCAGCAATGCTACTTTATGAAGCTGTCTTTCTGAGAGAGATTTCCACCTGTTTCCTAAGGCAGAGGTGGGCAGTTATGACCTTCCATTTGTTTTGTTGCCTTCAGGTCCCATCATATCTGGTCAGCATTGCCAGTGGTGAGGAGTTAAAAGATCTGCAAACCAAAACAGGAGAAACATGGAAGGCCACCATTGCCCAGTCCTGTTCTACAGCATGCTTCTTACTGTAGCAGTGTGCCTGGGTTGTGATTTCATCACTTCAGTCTGAGGTGGGGGCTCAGGTTAGTGAATGTCATCATTGTTAAGGAACAACCGTTATTTCTATCCCCAGAAAATGAAGATAAGTGGGGTCTCGACTTACGAACTTAATCCGTATTGGAAGGCAGTTCTCAGGTCGAAAAGTTCTTAAGTCGAATCTGCATTTCCCATAGGAATGCATTGAAAACCATTTAATCCGTATCTGCTCTTTTCGGCCATAGAAACTAATGGGAAACTAATGGGAAGCTGCGATTCCGCCTTCTGCCACTAGAGGGGGATATTTTTCTTTTTTCCTTTTAACCTAAGATGACTTAGCTTTAAAAAAAAGGGAAAAAAGAGTTCGTAACTCGAATCTAAGTTCGTAAGTCGAGTCCATATATTCCCATGGGGGCTGTTCGTAAGTCGAAACGTTCGTATGTTGAGCCGTTCGTAAGTCGAGACCCCACTGTATCAGAGGAAAGGTTAGTCAAGAAATGTTCCATTTGTAGCCTCCTAGACAGAAACCTAGAGAGGTTGGCATTTTTTAAAAAAAATCCTTTTAACGTAATTTATTTATTTCAAATGTTTTTAACATGCCTTTCTCCTTAAAAAGGACCCAAGGCGGCTTACAACAATTGAAAGGCAGTATTTAACTTAGTAACAGTACTAAAAGGATCAGTGAATACAATATCAAAAAAACATAAGCAACACCAAAACACATTCAATGCAGCAAGGTTTTTAAAAAACCCACTCGGCCGCCATTCACTCAGGGAACGCTTGTCTGAAGAGAAAGGTCATTATATGTTTGTGGAAAGACTGTAAAGGTGGGGCCAGCCTGGCTTCCTGTGGGAGGGAGTTCCAAAATCTGGGAGCAGCAACAGGGAAGGCTCTCTTTCACCTCCCCACCTGTGAAGGTGGCAGGACTGAGAAGAAGGCCTCCTCTGATGATCTTAACACTGGAGCAGTCTCATAAAGGGAGATGCAATCCTTGAGAGGGCTTGGGCCCAAGCCCATTTAGGGCTGTATAGGTTAGAACCAGCACTTTGAATTCTCCCCGAAAATGGATCTGCAGCCCACTGCAGCTGCTGTAACACGGGGGTGGGTGATCCCTGTAACCAGCCCCCATTAGCAATCTGGTCGCTGCGTTTTGGACCACTGAATTTTTCTGACAGTTTCCATAGGCAGCCTTACTTAGAGTGTGTTACAGTAATCCAGCTGGTACTGTTTTAACTGTGTAATTGCACTCCTAGCTACAGTCAAACTCTGGGTATCCAGACTCAGACAAATCCAGGAGTACCTCCAGGCTGCACACCTGGGTTTTCAGGGGAAGTGTAACCCATCCAAAACATACAAATATTTTAAAAGCATTATATTGAAAACAAATAAAATCAATACTAAAAATGCAAGAGAGCACAACAATCCATTAAAAAAACCCATAGGTATTGTCTTTTTGTAACTTAATGCATGGCCTAAAATTAAATTCCAGCTATACTAACACAGACAGTGTCATGTCTGTTTCTTCTTTTGTTCCCTGCCAATCAAGGAAGCTATTTGTTTCACTTAGGTAGTAAATAATTTTGGATACCTACTAGGTTTTATGTTTTAAAAATGGGGAAGCAGCTGTTGCATATGTTGCTGTGTGTCGGCATCCCCAGCTGTAAGCTGAAGTTTGTATTATCACTGCAGAGTCTAAACTAACTACATTTTTAGTCTTTCCAACACTTTGTGTTAAGACAGTGACCAATGCAGACCCTAAACCATTTTCTAAAACAATTCGCTCACTCTTCTTCATGTCACAGCAGCAGCCTGACAAAGAATTCTGGAGAACATGAATGCTTTGCCACTATTTTGTGATGAAGAATTCTGGTTTCCTTCTAATGAATGTAATGGCCTACTGTGGGTCCTGCATGGCTATCTGTGCTTTTTCAGAAATCAGTCAGGTGGGTGAATAAAGCCACTAAGGCCATTGCTTCCAAATGTTTAAACTTGGGAATATAGTCCAGTAAGAACCATCAGCACTTAACAATACCTTGGAGGAATCACATTTTTCACTGTCACCCATCTCTAGGCAGATACAGGAGTGACCAGGCTCCTTGTCTGAGTGTAACGGAGGTGCCAGAGTATAATGGAGGTGTCTAGCACATTTACATAAAAAGTAGGTGAGCCACAATACATTGAATTGCACTACATCCTGATGACACAGTTAGCTCCACATCCTCCATCAGGAAATAAATATGCCTAAAAGCAGGGCAAGTCCAGCTTGATGAATCAATGGCCACCCTGGGAGGAGAGGACACATGGAACTTTGGATTAACTGACCCATCATGCTTCCCGTATGGTCAGGGGCTTATTCGACCTTCATCAGGGGCGGCACTGTCGATCACCTTTTTCATTATTTGCAGTCTCTTTCCAATTTTGGTGACCAATCATTTAATTTGATAATGGCATCGATGATACTCGTTCTAAAGGACTGTCCTCTGATTTTGCCAGGGTACCCCTCTACCCAATAAAACTGTATGTGGTAAGCACATGCTGCTCCTGGATTCAGTTTGAAAACAAGGTGTTCACACTCTCTGCCTTGCTAGGCTTTGCGGCATAGCAGTAAATTTGGAGGTCCAGCAGTATGGGTAGTGTGCCATTCCCAGATGGGAAACCCACAGAAATTCCTTACTACTTCTATATATTGTGAGTGTAACACATGACCCAGCTATAGAGAAGCCATTTTCTGTGGCTAGGGCTACTCCAGTACAACATAAATGAACCTTAATCTGTTTCTATGCAAACCTTTTGCCATTTGACAGCCAGATAATGTTATTTATTCACCCTACCTTTTCTCCAAGAAACTCAAGGTGGCACTCTTCCCCTCATTTTTTCCCTCCTTCCTCTTTATCCTCACAGTCTTTTTCTACTGAGAGCAACCCTGTGAGGAAGATTAGGCAGTGTCTACCAACTCCAAGCACTGTAGACATAAACAGACTGGGTATTTGAGTGTGTTTGTGATGGACATAAGTTCTTAAACCCAGTCCTGCATTCTAAGAACTAGGCTATACTAAGCTATCTCCCCGACATCTTTGGCTTGATCTGGAAGAACAGAAAGCCAGCAGCTATCTCCCCGACATCTTTGGCTTGATCTAGAAGAACAGAAGATAGAAAGCCAGCCATTTTCTGAAACCGTGGTAATCATCAGATTATGACCTGGCCATACTGTCTCCATCCCATCTTTTCAGCCTATTAACATCGTTGTGCGAGGCACCACTGTTACAGTACTGGGCTTCATTCTCTACACCACTAAGATATGGCATTGGTGTCTTATTTTTCTCCTGAAAAACTAGACCGAAAGTGTAGTTCCCTCAGAAAACAGATCTATAAAGACTCTTGGAAAGAGAGGACCATGCACACAGACAATCAGATGTATTAGAAGCAGAACTTTAAAAAGTTAGGTTTTTGCATTACAAAATCAATAGAAAGTGATGCTGTAGCCATGCTGAATGGTGGATTTTGAGACTTGTAGCTGAAAATATTTCCAAGCTCTAATAAGAAGAGTACATCCACAACCAACTAAAAATCCTAGGCATGATTAGCAGTCAAAGACAGATCAGATCCTAGTTCTCAGACAGCAGTAGCTGTAAATATAACACCAATGGGAGGATAGTGAATGAGAAGGGAAGCCGGTAGGCTCATCATCCTGTCATCACAGGGCACACAAGCAAAGGCCAAGGAGATCAAAGAAAGAACTCTGGTGTAGTGGAAGGCTGTGGTTCAGAAAAGGGCTATGGGCAGAGACAGAAGTTCACTGGAAGATCAAAAGCCCTTTGGGTGTTCTTTGTTCCTGAACACACCCACACTGACTGCGAACAACATTCTGGCACCACTAGATGGTTTGCAGTGAGTCCCCAATGCTGCCACCCCCTCACCCCCTCAGGAATGCTAAGCTGTTTCTGATGCTGGCTCTCAAAGAAGACATTTCTGTGGCCTGCTTGCCAATCTGAGAAGACAGGCCTGCCCACCCCTTCTGTCACGAGGCTGCTCCAGGCCTTGGCTGTTTATTATAGCTGCACAATAGTGCAACTCTGTTATTGTGCAGCAGAGTACTGTAAATCTAAAAGGCAATTCTAAAACTGAGAGCAGTGCAAACAAAAATCTATAATTTGGAAACTGGAGTTCAGATTAGCACTACATTTGGCACAGGTGTAGTACACAATCTGCCCATTTTCTGTGCCAAATTGGGGACGTTTGGGCAAAGGGTTTTTTCAGTAAGTGCAGAAATAGACGGCCCTAAACATCTCCAGATTTAAATGCAGGAATAGGTGACACCTTTATTAGACAACTTAAATAAACCATATAATCTGCTAGCTTTTCCCATGGAGGACTCTGGGTTTTTTGTGCTGCCCTGTCCCCCAGTTGAACAGAAACTTGTACTGTAGTTTCAAAAGAAGGTGATATGGGAAGGTATACGCATAATGTCTGAGCTTCTTTGTTTGAGGAGCTGGGGTGTTATATTCATTCAAGTCCCAAAATCCCCCAGCCAGCAGACATAAAGGGACCATGCTCAACAATCCTCCAGCACACACATACAGTATATGCACTAGTTAGGCCTGTTCTGGGAAAACAGCCTAGAAGATAAGCATGTTCTTCCCCCTCCTTCATGGATCTCACATTTTGAATCCATTACTTCAAGCCCTACCCTC